TGCCAACTAGGTTGCGCCATATGGTCAGATGCACGAGTGATTTTCTGTAAGCCCCGAATTCTGACAGAAGGAAAAAAATGAACAGCCATGCTAACTGGCAGATAATGTGAGATTTCTTTTTTTTAATTTAACTCTAAAAACGTTAAGGTCTTTGTGGTCTAGATGTGTTTTATTTTGTCTCTCATTTAGTAAGACCAAAGTACAATTTTTAAAATATATTACTATAAGTAAACTTATACCTTTTGGGCTTTTTAGAGTAATTTTAAAAATAGTACAAAGAAGAGCCAGATTCCCGTACAGCTGGACTTGGGGGGAATGCTGACAGCACTGGAAAAGAAGCAGCACTCCCAGCATGCAAAGCAGTCCTCCAAGCCAGTGGTGTTCTCGGGTAAGTCTTTTCATTTCACACAAGTCACTGAAAGTCTGTTTTCAGCTAGATTGTTTTAGTATTTTCTCTTGTAATTGAAAGTTACTTAAATATAATAAAAACAGGGTGCTGTTGGGGATAATGTGTTTGTAAATATAGGCCAGTGGGATAGATTTGAGAATCCAGAAATGAACCCGTATCTGTGGGCAGTTGGTTTTTGACAAGGGTGCCAAATTCATTGAAAAAACAAAGACCAATCTTCAGAAATGATGCTGGGTGGGACCAGCAGATGGCTTATTGGCTGTCGCTGGACTCCAATGTACTTGACCATGGTTTGAGTCCCAGACCCGGTGGCTTAAACTCACACCGGGTGCGCATGTGCGTGCGTGCCTAAGATCCCAAGAGGAGAATGGAGGAGAAGGGATTGTGGCATGGCCATCCCCCCGGGGGGTGATTTCTCGCTTTCTCTTTTTCTCTATCTCCAGTGAGCGCATGGACCCTATAGCAAAAATCTCTCAAAAAAAAAAAAAAAAAGATTCGGCACCAAAAGCATGAGCAATGAAGGAAAACGGCTGGCAGGTGGCAGGTGGTTAAGTGCACTGGGCTCCCACATGATCGATTGTGGTTCGAGTTCGGGACCTGGTGACTTGCTTTCTCACTTTCTCTCTCTCTCTCTCTCTCTCTGTTTCTCTCTGGTCAAATTAAAATAAATAAGTAAATAAAGTTAAATAAAATAATTCTTAAAAATAAAATAAAAACAGTACCAAAGGACATTATAGAGAAAGTAAAAGACAACTTAACACCATGGGTAGAATATTTGCAAATCATGTATTTGATAAGGATTTAATATCCAGATGTATAAGATCTCTTCTACCTTGACAACAAAGCCAGTTTAATTAAAAATTGGGGAAAGACTTGAAAAAAGGCATTTCTCCACAAAGACATCCCAGCGGCTAACAAGCACATGAAGAGACCCTCGGCATCATCAGTATGAGTACTGCGCGAGCTACAGTACCATCCCGTCACTTCACACCTGGGGTGGCTAGCATGAGAAGCAGCACCAGAATTGCTGAGTGGGCAAACGAGCCCTGCTGCCAGTGGGGATGTAAAGTGGGGCGGCTGCTGTGGAGAACGGCCTGCTGGTTCCTCAGTAATACGGGTTCCCATGCAAGCCACAATCCCATTCCTTCATATTTCCCGAAAGGAATTAAGAACAGAGACAGACGCTTGTATGCCAGCCTTCATTGCAGCTTTATTCCCCAGAGCCAAAGGCTCAAACGTCCATCACCACGTGAACGGGTAGACAGGTGCCCTGTAGTCATACAGAGTAGTTCAGCCTTAAGAAAAGGATGATGGGCCAGGGCTGGTGGTTAAGGCAGCCAGACCCCAGGTAGCCCTGCGTGGTGTGAATCCCAGACAGACCTGGTGACTTAGGAAACATGCCAAGCCTATGTGTGTGCATGGCCAGAATCCCCAAAGGAGGGAGAGATGGAGGAGAAGGGACTGTGATGATCATGGCCCATGAGGGACACTCTTCCTGCTATTTCCACCCCTCCCCTCTCACTACATATCTCCGGTGAGCACCTATTCCCTCTGGCAAAATGACTTTAAAAATTAAAGGAAGGACTTCCAATACATGTTAACACATGAATGAAACTTGAAAGCCTCGATGTTCTATGAAATAACCCAGCCACGGAAAGATACTGTATGAGTCTTAAAGAAATGTTTCAAATATGTCAGTGTATAGAAACAGAAAGTAGTCAGGGCTTACCAGGACCTGAGAGGGAGAGGACTGGGGAGTCACTGTTAATGGGAACAGAGTTTCACTGTGGGGCATGAAGAAGTCTTTGAAACAGTGACGATGTTGGACAGCATTGTGACTGCCATTTATGCTACCGCATCATACACCTAAAGATTAAAATGGTGAAATCTACATCATTTTACCACAATTTTAAATTTTTAATAAACTTAAATAGATGACTTTAAAGAAATAGGTATGATCAGTAGTTGAGTTTTCCACTTGGTTTGATGACATCGGGGCTGAAAACCTCACTTCTGTAAGTGCCCTGTGCTGCCCTGTGCTGTGTCTGCTGCAGGGGTGAGTTAGGCAGGCGTGTTCCATAGGTGTCCTCTCAGGGTGCCAGAGCACGCTGCTGGAACAGAGCCAAGTCCGTGTGGTGTTGCTCACCTTTTTTGACACATCTTAGAAAGCTAAAGCCAAGACAGCAGAAACCGGCTGGATCGATAGCCCGGTGACCAGGAGCTGGGTCCCAGGTAGCTTGCCGTAGTTGGAGTCAAGCCCTGGCAGCTTGAAACACTTGCCCGATTGTGTGTGTGTGCACGCACACAATCCCGACAGGATGGAGCAGTGTAGGAGAAGGAGTTGTGGCGTGACCACACCTTACTGGGGAGTGCTCTCTCTCTCTTTTATTTAAAAAAAAAAAGTAGCTGAACTAGATGATAGTGTGCCATAGAAACTTGCAAAATCTCAGTCGTGACCTTTTCAGTGTGTTGCTTCCTTTTGAGGCTGTCTAGTTTTTACAGCCCACTACATATTTTAAAAGAAAAACTTCACACTCAAGGAAAGTGGTAAAGAGGGTTTTATTCATCCTCTTTGGTCAGGTTGGGTTTTGTCCTCGAGGTTCCTGGTCATTGGTGACCGGACAGTATGCCAAGTTTTATGGTAGTGATCACAGAAGGAAGGAATTTAATATTGTGTCTCTGGAGGGGAGGAGGGATTTTTTGTCTTTTGAAAATGGGACATTCACAAAGGCTGAGTTCCTTGCAGTGAACCCCACGTACACATGGTAGTTCGCTGTGTCTGCTGTTCTGCCTGGCTGGCCTTGGGGACCAGACCAGGCCCCCGGCTCCCTGACTGTGTGAGGAAACGTTAAGTTAGGGACACAGCCATGCCCGTTCATGTGTCTGCTCCGGGAGCGCCGAGTAGCAGCCTGGAAGGAGCAGTTGGCTGACGCTTGTCTGTGTGTTCATCTGATGCATTGTAAAATCAGCTCCAGACATCAGGATACTTTGCCCCAAAAGCAGTGCAGCAGGTGTCATGAGCTATAGTTCAGGGTTTGTTTGTGAGGGTTTTGTTTTTGTTTTGTTTATTTTGTTTTTGAAGTGAAATCTGCGTAAGTGAAATCTGAAGCGTTTTGGCGAGGTTGCCATCCTGCGTTAGTAACCTGAACTCCTAACCACAGGCAATACTCAGTCCTTCCCAGCCACTGCCGGCTGCACATCTAGGCAGCACTCTCCCAGCAGTTTCCCACCGTTCGTTCTTCCTGCTCTCGAGCGCCGCATGAAGCCCTAGCTCCTTTGTGTGCAGCTTATCCAGCAGTGTGTGTGGGTGCTGGTTGGTGTCTGCCGCCGTCCTTGTGTGGTTAGTCGAGGCGGTATTCCTGGAGCACAGCCATCTACAGTGTACAGTTGGGTGGCATCAGGACATCACAGTTTTGACCATCTCTGTCCAATTGGAAAACATTTTCATCGCTCAGGACAAAACCTCGTACCTAGTGGGTAGCTCCCTCTCCCCGCTCACCAGAAGCGATTCTCTGTCTGCATTTCCTCTAGATTCGTGCATCTGATGTTGTGTTAAGTGGAGTCTTACAGTACGTGCTCTGTGTCTGCATTCACGCAGCGTGCCGTCTTTGATGTTATCCACGTAGCAGCACGTGTCGGCGTTGCCTTGGTTTTCTTGGCTGAGTAGTATTTCCACCTCCCTGCGTTCATCTTTGGAGTGACGCTCTGTGCACCGATGTCTTTAGACCTGCCCCGTGCTATGGGGAGCCTGGGTCGGCCTTGCGTTAGCCACAGGCAGGGGCAGCTTTTCCTCAGCAGGTGGCTTTGGGATTCACTCCATAGATCACAGCAGAAATGGCCCAAACTTGGACGTCCTTCACAGGCAGGTGTTTGGAGTCCCCTTTCTCAAGTCTGGAAGTGTCCACCCAGCCGTGGCTCTGAGGAGTGTCGCTTCCTGAGCAGCTCGCAGGAGAACGTGTTGCCAGAGTCTCTCGCCGTTCTCCATAGGGGGGTTTGGCGTTGAGCACCTGAGAACTGGAGAAGGATGACCACGCTCAGCCACGGCAGCACTAAAGGGGACTGTTTACTTGGGATGTTTGATGGTGTCCCACATGCCTTGGAAGCTCTGCCATGTTTTTTTTTCAGTCTTCTTTTTTTCTGTATTTTGACCGAGTAATGTGTACTGATCTGTCTTCCAGTGCAGTGATTGCCCCACCGTCTCAGACCTGCCACTAAGCCCTGTCTTTTATTGCTTCTCTTTACTAAGGTCTGTGTTCATTTCCATCCCAGCAGCGCCATGAAGTATTGGCCTGTGGAGCTCCACATCTGAGGACACCCTGAGGCTGTACTTGGGCATTGCTTTTTTATTTTAAGAATTATTTTATTTAACTTTATTTATTTATTTATTTTAATTTATTAGAGAGGGAAAGAAAGCAAGCAAGCCGCCAGGTCTGGGACTCAAACTGCACTCGGCCATGTGGGAGTCTAGCACCTTAACCACCACACCACCTGCCAGCCCCAGGGCATTGCCTTTTTTCCTGAGCGTGAGCTACACTTGTTTATTTAGATGTCTCAAAATTTGCTATTGACCTCTGGATATTTTAGTTAACATATTGTATTAATTCTGGATTCTGGTTTTTCCCTCAGACTGGGATCCCATCTAAAAGATACTAAATTTCATTTCGAATCATTGCCAGTGGTAAATAAAGATCATTGACACAGATAAGAAAGGTGGTGGGACTGAGCTAGGGATGGTTGGAGCTGCCTTACTGGGACAGACTGGGGCGGTGAGGTCAGAGCTGGGCTCGCTGCAGGGCTGACTGGGGTCTGCCCTCTGTGTTCCAGTCGGAGCAGTGCCAGTCCTTTCCAAAGAAGCCATGTCGGGGGAGAGGGGCCACCGCTTCAGCCAGGTGAAGACCCCGCACAACCCTTTGGACTCCAGCGCGCCCCTGATGAAGAAGGGGAAGCAGAGGGAGGTCCCCAAGGCCAAGAAGCCCACCTCTCTGAAGAAGGTGAGCAGAGTCTTTCCTGGAAACGTCCCCCATGCGTCTTGCCGCTCCCGGGCTCCCAGGCCGGAAGGGTGCGTTCCCTGGAAGCGAGGACCGCGTCAGGGTGCGGCACTGATCCCTACTACGTGCCCAGCATGGGGGTGCAGCAGGGAAACAGGTGCTCACCCTCCTGGGACCGAGAATTTCTTCGCTCTTTTTTTAATAACCTTTGTGGTGACATGGACAGAAAACCAGAACTGGGCAGAGGGTGCTACACTTCCCTCCTCCCCAGCTCCCGCCCTGTCCCCTCCGTGCTGATCCGTCCCCGTTCTGGCCCCTGGTGCTCACATAGGCTCCTTTACCTGCGTCTCGCCGCAGCCTATGGCTTGTGCTTGGCCACCCGAGGAGTGGCAGGAGCTCAGAGCCCAGGCTCTCGTGTTCCTGCATGGCGCGTCTGTTCCCGTGGTCAGGAGCACATTGCTGCTCAGAAAGCACGAGCAGGCGCCTGGCCAGCAAGTCAGACTTGGCAGTTTATTTTGTAGAGGAGCTTATCTCTTGGGACTGGCAAGTGGGGTGGTAGTTAAGGGTGCTGGACTCCCACATGGCTAACCATGGTTCGAGTCCTGGACCTGGTGGCTTGCTTTCTCACTTTCCCTCTCTCTGTCCCTCGCTGGTCAAATTAAATAAAGCAAGGAAGTTAAGTAATTCTTAAAAATAAAGTATCTCTTAATAAAAGCACAAGTATTTTGATTATTTTAATCTTTCATTTGATTTTAAAGATAATTTTGAAAGAACGACAAGAGAGAAAACAGCAGCGCCTCCAAGAAAATGCTGCGAGCCCAGCCTTGGCCAGTGATGGTGCGCCAGATGTGGAGAGTGGTGACGATGACCAAGTCCCCGAAGCCGAGCCCACAGGTACCAACTTTGCCTTCTCCTTCCTCGTGGAGTGAAGCAGCCCTGAGGAAGTCGGCTCTGCAGGCCTGGCTGGCCAGGGTCTTGCCACTTGTATGTTGGTGATAAAACAAGGTCAGCGTGGAGCTGCTATTTATTTTAAGAATTATTTTATTTAACTTTATTTATTTATTTATTTTAATTTATTAGAGAGGGAAAGAAAGCAAGCAAGCCGCCAGGTCTGGGACTCAAACTGCACTCGGCCATGTGGGAGTCTAGCACCTTAACCACCACACCACCTGCCAGCCCCAGGGCATTGCCTTTTTTCCTGAGCGTGAGCTACACTTGTTTATTTAGATGTCTCAAAATTTGCTATTGACCTCTGGATATTTTAGTTAACATATTGTATTAATTCTGGATTCTGGTTTTTCCCTCAGACTGGGATCCCATCTAAAAGATACTAAATTTCATTTCGAATCATTGCCAGTGGTAAATAAAGATCATTGACACAGATAAGAAAGGTGGTGGGACTGAGCTAGGGATGGTTGGAGCTGCCTTACTGGGACAGACTGGGGCGGTGAGGTCAGAGCTGGGCTCGCTGCAGGGCTGACTGGGGTCTGCCCTCTGTGTTCCAGTCGGAGCAGTGCCAGTCCTTTCCAAAGAAGCCATGTCGGGGGAGAGGGGCCACCGCTTCAGCCAGGTGAAGACCCCGCACAACCCTTTGGACTCCAGCGCGCCCCTGATGAAGAAGGGGAAGCAGAGGGAGGTCCCCAAGGCCAAGAAGCCCACCTCTCTGAAGAAGGTGAGCAGAGTCTTTCCTGGAAACGTCCCCCATGCGTCTTGCCGCTCCCGGGCTCCCAGGCCGGAAGGGTGCGTTCCCTGGAAGCGAGGACCGCGTCAGGGTGCGGCACTGATCCCTACTACGTGCCCAGCATGGGGGTGCAGCAGGGAAACAGGTGTTCACCCTCCTGGGACCGAGAATTTCTTCGCTCTTTTTTTAATAACCTTTGTGGTGACATGGACAGAAAACCAGAACTGGGCAGAGGGTGCTACACTTCCCTCCTCCCCAGCTCCCGCCCTGTCCCCTCCGTGCTGATCCGTCCCCGTTCTGGCCCCTGGTGCTCACATAGGCTCCCTTACCTGCGTCTTTCCTGCCCTGCATGGCGCGTCTGTTCCCGTGGTGCACATTGCTGCTCAGAAAGCACGAGCAGGCGCCTGGCCAGCAAGTCAGACTTGGCAGTTTATTTTGTAGAGGAGCTTATCTCTTGGGACTGGCAAGTGGGGTGGTAGTTAAGGGTGCTGGACTCCCACATGGCTAACCATGGTTCGAGTCCTGGACCTGGTGGCTTGCTTTCTCACTTTCCCTCTCTCTGTCCCTCGCTGGTCAAATTAAATAAAGCAAGGAAGTTAAGTAATTCTTAAAAATAAAGTATCTCTTAATAAAAGCACAAGTATTTTGATTATTTTAATCTTTCATTTGATTTTAAAGATAATTTTGAAAGAACGACAAGAGAGAAAACAGCAGCGCCTCCAAGAAAATGCTGCGAGCCCAGCCTTGGCCAGTGATGGTGCGCCAGATGTGGAGAGTGGTGACGATGACCAAGTCCCCGAAGCCGAGCCCACAGGTACCAACTTTGCCTTCTCCTTCCTCGTGGAGGGAAGCAGCCCTGAGGAAGTCGGCTCTGCAGGCCTGGCTGGCCAGGGTCTTGCCACTTGTATGTTGGTGATAAAACAAGGTCAGCGTGGAGCTGCTAGGGCATGCAAAAGTTCAACTCCCGCCCACGGCACAGGCAGCCACTGTGCACGGGGTAGAGCTTCACCCCCTGCCTCCAGCCGCACCCCTTATTTGGTCCTGGGCTGCCGTTTGATGGTCCTCTTCATGAAATGGCCCCTGGGATTTGCTCCACTTGCCACAAAGCTGCTGCCGGTGAGCACGCAGATGTGGGGTCACGGAGACACCGGGCATCATGTTCTCAGGGTTTCTTCCTTTCAAGAGACAGACAAGCTCCTCGGGGTCTCGACACTGATCCTCCCCCAGCCTCAGCCCGGGCAGGTCACACCTGCAGCTGTGGGCACTGCAGAGCGGCTGCAGGTGTGACCTGGACCCCTCCCGTGTGCTCAGCTGGCAGCAGCGTGTTGTACTGCCCTGCCGCCACTCAGGCAAATCCTCTCCGTTTTCTTCTTTGGCCTTGATGAGAGAGTTGGTGCAGAGGAGGTAAGGGAGGTGAGAAAGGTGTTTGTGATGGAGTCTCGTGTCCTAGCCCTGCCCCACCCTGGTGAGCCGCCACCCCAGCATCAGCCCCCAGCCTGTTCAGGTTGGGCTGGGAACCAAAACTGGGCCCCCGCGGCCTCGCCATTGCGCAGTGGCGCTCTCCCACTTGCACCACCCTGGCTGGGCCAAGTGCGTGTGTCTATAAAGTTTCTTGCTCTTTATATCTGTAGGGTGTATATACTCACTGGGGGGTGGGCAGTGAGAAAGCACCATGCCCCTGGGGTGTGGCCACACCACAGTCCCTTCTGCTTCATTCTCTCGGGATGTTGGGCATGCACACATGTCGGGGAATTGAACCACCCAATTAGCTATGTGGGATCCAGCCACTACCATACCACCAGCTTGCCCTTAGGTAACTTTTTTTTTTTTTTTTTAAGAGAGATGTTTTACTATAGGGGGCATGCATTCACCAGAGAGACAGAAAGCGAGAAATCACCCCCTGGGGGATGGTCACTTTGCTGTTCTTTCTCCATTCTCCTCTTTGGATCTTGGGCATGTACGTGTGTGTTTTAGGCTGCCAGGTTCAGTACTCGAACCACAGTCAACTACACGGGAGTCCAGCCATGGAACCATTTCACCATTCGCCGGTCCCTAGGTAAACTTTATTCACGTACGTGTTCAGAAAAAGCCCGTAAATTGTACACGTGCAGTGTGAGGACTTCACTGAGTGGACACAGCACCCAGGGTTGCCTGCATCATCAGAGACCTCCCCCTAGGGACTCTGCCCAACACTGCAACCCTGGATACAAACTGTGAGCCTGGGGTGCCAGGGGGCCAGGCAGGGAGGCCTGCTCCGTATTGCATCATGCCAAGGGGCACTTGCCATTGCCGCAGTGGATTCAGCTGGAGGGCCATGCCAGGGTTGGGGGTGGGCATCCAGACCTTGCTAGTTTGGGGCACTAGCGCTAGGACTCCTGTGCAGAGAGGGGCAGGGGTGGTCGTGGGGACACAGGCACCCACTTCTGTTGGGCCTGTACCCAGAGCAGAGCGGTGCTAGGTGCTGCTGCCATGCAGGCCAGTGTCCTCTGCCTGCCCAGGCTGGGTCCCAGCTAGTCTGGGCCGGTGTCCATGCCTGCTCTGCATCCCAGTCCTCGTGGTGACCGTGGCCCCGTGTGCATCCTGCTGGCCTGTGGCTGTACGTGTGGGACGGCGCTGCGCCTCACCTGTGTGTTCACACGTGCCTGTTGAGGCGCTCATGGTCTAGTCGCTGGGGTTCCGCTCTCGTGGAAGGGCTATTTGAGAAGACAGTCATCTCAAGTACCTAAGCATGGTAGACTTAGAACTCAAAAATAATAGATTCTCAGGTTAGATTCAAAAATTAAAAAATAAATATGGCCACTGAATTGCAAACTTAAAAAGGTCTAAAGTGGTAAAATTTATGTATATTTTACTACAACAAAAATGAACGAATAGGAACCAGCAGGTGGTGTGGTGGTTAAGGCGCTGCACTCCCACTGGTAACTGTGGTTTGAGTCCTGGACCTGGCGGTTTCCTTTCTCACTTTTTCTCTCTGGTGAGTACACATGCCTGTAGCAAATTAAAATAATAACGATGACGATAAGTGAATGATTCTTTTAAAAAATACAAATAGATAGGGGGAAGCCCATATCCAAGCAGGCCAGAAGGCTGCCGTGTTTCCCAGCTCTTCAGGCTTGTCCCAGACTCCTCTGTCCCTGCTGCACTCTGTCTCCGTACACCTCTCTGCAGCCTTGTCTGTGCCCAGGGCAGGTGTGTGTGGGCCCGGCAGCCCCATCGAGCCTGCCCTGGGTCAGCACTAGGGGACGTTCTACCGCCTGGGCCCGTCAGTGCATGCATAGGGCCCTGCAGGTGACAGATGGTGGCCTTTTCCCTCCCTGTAGGTCCACGGGCAGTTGATGAATTGGCTTCCTGCACTCCTGCCATCGAGGACCAGCCTGAAGAGCCACTGGGCACGGAGCAGCAGAGGGACACTGGAGCGTACCCACTGGCGCCTGAGCACCCTGGCCTCCCCAAGATCCACAGCCGGAGATTCAGGGAGTGAGCGAGCCCCTGTCCGCCAGGGATCGGTGGAGGGTGGGACACTAGGGTCCCACTTCACGGTAGTTTCTTCTGCCCTTGTGCTCAGCGCTCAGATCCATGTGGATAGGCCGCCCTGCATTTAGTCCTCATTGGAAAGGGCCAGGTTCCCAGCCTCCCGAGTGCCAGTGGCCTGCTACACCCATCTCTGTCTGCTGCTGCTGAGGTTTCTGTCCTAGCCAGACCGGGTTTGAGGTGGGGGAGTGGGTAGTGAGGCAACATATCTGACATTTGGGGCCCTGCTCGTGGCAGCATTTCTCTGTGGCCGCCCCTCGGAGCAGGTGGTGTAAACCTCGTTGGCTTGCTCTGCCAGCTTCTCCCCAATTTTCAGGGTAATTAGTGTCTCCAAGCGCTCATGAGATGGGACCCTTGACCCACTGTGGTGAGGAGGCCCAGAGCTTTTTTCCCTATAGCTGGGAGTTGGGGGAGACACATCTGTCTTTCTGCCCAGTCAGGCAGGAGGCACCTTTAATGAGCTCTCTGTGGCTCCACGCGAGGCCAAGGCAGTGCCACTGCCAGTGGGACACTCACAGTGTCTGGCCTTTGCTTCAGCTACTGCAGCCAAATGCTCAGCAAGGAGGTAGACGCCTGCGTCACGGACCTCCTCAAGGAGTTGGTCCGCTTCCAGGACCGCATGTACCAGAAAGACCCCGTCAAAGCCAAGACCAAACGCCGAGTTGTGTTGGGGCTGAGGGAAGTTCTCAAGCACCTGAAGCTCAAAAAGCTCAAGTGCGTCATCATCTCCCCCAACTGTGAGAAGATCCAGTCGAAAGGTAACAGTGCCTGGCGACGTTGGGTATGGTTCCTGAGGCAGTGCACAGTGCTCGGCCTGTGCAGTCGGCCACATGCTTGGTCAGCCAAGCGGGCCACTCACCTGGGAGGCCGGCTGCAGGTGTGGGCGGGTGTGTGTCGGGGGTTTGGTTTTGAGTGATGGTCTCCCAAGCGCAGCAACCACTGAGCGCCTTGCTCCTCGTGTGGCAGGCAGGTCCTGTGGTCTTGCAGGGTGCTCTGCTCAGGAGCAGGGTCCTGGTCACTCACAGCACAGAGATGCCTGCCTGGCAGCCAGGCAGTCGAGGGTGTCCGTCGTTCATACTGATACTTTTTGTCAAGTTTTACCCCTAGAGTTGGCACCTCACCCCATAACATTTTCAGGTTGCCCCGGGGCAGCAGGTGGGCAGATGGAACTTGAAAATTAATCCCATCAAGCCAGCTACAGAGTTGTTCCCAGTCCCCATGTGTGGCCAAGCACATTTGAGGAATTCTTTCTTGAAAACAGGTGGTAGATAAGCGGTTAGGTGCAGGTGACACCTAGGGGTTGTAAACAGTCCCATTCTCTATACTCATTTTGCAAGAATTGTGTGCATGTCTCATAGGCTTGGTGCCTGGCATATAGGGTGTATACACTTGTAACCCTAAAACCTGGGCCGTACTGCCCTGTGGGGCCACTGCAGCTCAGGCAGGACTGGCCGGGAGTTCGTGAGAGCCTGATGAGAGTTGCAAGTACCTTTCTAGTTTGTGATTTGCCTACTTAAAAATTTTTTTTGGCCATGTAGAAACTTTATGTATATCAAGTTTTATATATATATACATATATATATGTATATATATATAAATATTTTAAGAGCATGTGTACTTGCCCAAGAAAGACAGAGAAAGTGAGAAAGCACACTGCGGCCCCTTCTTCACTTTTGCCTTCCAGGGTTTGGAGCTTTATATATATATACATATATATATGTATATATATATAAATATTTTAAGAGCATGTGTACTTGCCCAAGAAAGACCGAGAAAGTGAGAAAGCACACTGCGGCCCCTTCTTCACTTTTGCCTTCCAGGGTTTGGAGCTCACATGCACATATGCCTGGTGTATTTTTCAAGCCACTGGATCTAATGACTATGTGGGTTTGAGACCTGAATTGAGTGGCTTGAAAAACATGCCAAGAAGGAGTGCCTGCATGTCCAATCATCCCAAGAGCAGAATGGAGGAGAAAGGGTTGCAGCATGACCATTATCCCATGTGTCTCACTTTCTTTTTTTCTTTCTCTCCCTCTCTGTTTCACTGTGGTGAGTGTGCACATCCTATAACAAAAACAAAAAAAAAAAGAAGAAAAAGAAAAAGCATAAGAACAAATTTTTTTTTTATTTTATTATCATCATAATCTTCTTTCTATTACACTAGATTACATATAACTTTACATTGACTTCCATTGCTTTTTCAAAAGGGAATGCCATGCATGTCAGTCAATACAGAGATATCAATCTCCCCGCTTTATCATTCAATATCTTTTCCATGCTTTTCCAAATAATTATTATTATAATTTTTTTAAACAGTCAATCACTATTTCTCATTTTGCTTATTAAAAAGACTTCACCCATCATGAAATACTTTCCAGACCGGTTCAGTTGAGAATACTATACATGTCATCATCAACAGGTAATAAACCATATCTATTTCTCATTAACATCCTGCCTCTCTATTGTTCACTGCTGTCTTTATCCTCTTCTCTCTCCTTTTTTTTTTTTTTATACTTTGTTTTTTATTATAAATTTTTTTTCTCATCACAACACACATATGAATTTTCCATCCAAAATACACTGTGCATTGGCTCAATCAAGCACATCAACATATATGTTCTCAGCAAATGATTTCCCAATTTTTGTGTCCTGCATACCTTGCCTTTTGTTTTGCCATCCTAGGTTCCCCATCCCCACCCTCTGCCATGTCCCATCTTCCTCCTCCATTGTCCCTGACATTCATGATTGCCCTCAATGGCTTCCGCCCCCCCCCATTCAATTGTTCTACCAATGAACTCAATTAGTCTAAGTATATCCACTAGCTAGCACAGCTGACATATCCTTACACATGTATCCAAATCTGATCCTAGGCATAAACCCCAGGGAGTAGAATGAACATACTATAAAGTAGACCCCAGTTGTGTCCATACAACTCTCTTCAGTCATCAAATGTGCATTTTTTTTTCCTCCTGCTTATTACTTTTTTTATATTAAATTATATTGCCTAACACTCATTCCCTGAGTATCATCACAACACACCAAGTGTAGTTTCCCATCTAGGATAAACTACATAGTGTCTTAATCAAGCATGTCGTCACCAATACTGTTCCATTTCTACTTTCATACATATAAATATGTTTTTTATCCTATGTTTGACCCTCAGCCCTTTCCCCCTCTCCCAATTACTCTATCTCTGCTATAGACAGCTATCCTCCAGAGGGGTCATTGAAAATGCGATACCTGCGAGTAGAGGGAGAGGGGTCACGAGTCCAAAGTTTTTAACAATAGGGAAAATAGATTCCATTCAAGGTTGGATCAAGTGTGGGTCTCGTGCAGTTCCGCAACTGTAGGTGAGTCTCCATGGAATACAGTTTCAGGAAGGCGGTTCTGGCAAGCAGAGTTGACCATCAGTTGATGCGGCACAGCAGCCATCTTGTGGTTAGCAG